GCCTTAGCCAATTGAGCTATAGGCGCCGAGCCGAGACATGTTTCTAGTAAAATTTTTTGAGAGGAAAGGAAAGTTTATAAGAAATTAAAAATTGTATTATTTTAAAATCTTTAAGTATGAATCATATTTTTGTATAGAGAGTAACTCAGGAACTAAGAAAAAATTACCTTAATTTATTGTTTAAAGTGTGATACATATTTATGTTGCATGTGCTGATGAAGGTATTAGATGATTTGAATTTTTTAAATACAAAATTCAAAAAAATAATTCCAAATATACAATCTGACTTCAGCCAGAAAAAGTCAAAACTAGTTTTTCTTCCATTTTGTAAAGTCATTCTTCACAAAAACTTTATAGCCTTTTTATTTACAGCTCTCCAAGATAAAATGGCAACCCCAAAAGAGAAAACTCCAATGTGTCTGGTAAATGAGTTAGCCCGTTTCAATAGAGTCCAACCCCAGTATAAACTTCTGAATGAAAGAGGGCCTGCTCATTCAAAGGTAAGGTTAAAGAGAGGTGGTGAGACATACTTATCAAACTAACACATTTATCATCTCAGTTGTTAATTGTGCTTTATTTTCTGGAGTGGGAGTTCAGTGGATGGCTTTCTGAAGGCTTTTTAGCTCTCTGTTAATAATATTTCGAAGTCTGTAACTAAACTCTGGCGGCTCATTATGACTTACAAAGCTTTTTCAGATAAAGAACTTTATATAAACCTTAATAAAACCACATGAGATATAGATGTTTGATTTCCGTTTTGCAAATTAAACTCAGGAACAGAAAACTTAAGCAGTTTGCTTAATAGTTTGTAGGTACTAGTGCCGGTTCTTGAATATATATGCTTTGGTTCCCAGGTACAGGGCACTTTCCATTAAATCACAGCTGCTAAAGAAAATGGAGATAGAGCACATGTGCCAATAGTACCCAGTGAGACATGTTTTCCGATGTGATGTTTAATTCTAAGATTTATTGTTTGTAAAAGTTGTTTGTACCAGTGTTTTTATTATCTGTGCATTCACTTATAATATTTTTTAAATGGAAAGCACTTTTTATTTATATGTAGTTACAACATATATGTTTGCATATATACATGTTACAAAGAAATCTACAGCTAGTGCATTTATATTTGAGCTCTGTTCATCTGTTTAAGACAGCGGTCCCGGCTCGGCGCCTATAGCTCAACCGGCTAAGGCGCCAGCCACGTACACCTAAGGTGGCGGGTTCGAATCCCCAGCCCGGACCCGCCAAACAACAATGATGGCTGCAACCAAAAAATAGCCGGGCGTTGTGGCGGGCGCCTGTGGTCCCAGCTACTTGGGAGGCAGAGGCAGGAGACTCGCTTGAGCCCAGGAGTTGGAGGTTGCTATGAGCTGTAATGCCACGGCACTCTACCCAGGGGGACAGCTTGAGGCTCTGTCTCAAAAAAAAAAAAAAAAGACAGCGGTCCCCAACCTTTTTGGTGCCAGGGACTTGTTTCATGGAAGACTGTTTTTCTACAGACGAGGGTGGGATGAGGGGGATGGATTCAAGGACATTATTACATTTCCACCTGAGATCATCAGGCATTAGATTTTCATAAGGAGTGAGCAACCTAGATTCCTTGCATGTGCTGTTTGCAGTAGGGTTTGTTTTCCTGTGAGAATCTAATGTTGCTAAACTTACCTGACAGAAGGTGGAGCTTGACAGTGATGCAAGTGATGGGGAGCAGCTGTACATACAGATGAAACTTTGCTCCCGCGCCCTGCCGCTCACTGCTGTGCGGCCCAGTTCCTAACAGGCCATAGCGTGGTACCAGTCCATGGTCCGGGGGTTGGGGACTGCAGGTTTAAAAAGTCTTAGCTGTGCATAATTTTCCATGGAAAATTTTAAATGTTGGATGTTGGAGATTATAATAATGCTCATAAATTTTGTATACATTATGGGAGCATTTATTCTCTAAGGGTTGGTTAATCTCCATAAAGCAGTGAGCTTTTGGGTTGGTTTCTGGCATCTCCCTCAAAGTAAGGAAAAAATGATGAAACTACAGTGCATCCATTTATTCTCTGTTTGTGGCTTTTATGAAGTAAAAGATTTGCAGACAGCAATTTAATTTGTTCATAATATCTCTTATTCTTAAATTAGCGGAGAAAATAGTTGTGGCCTTTGTCTTTCTGTCCAGCCATGTATCCTGTCTCTTTCAGACTCATTCTGTCCTTAATTATATTGAACTGTGTTGCATTTATGAATAATGCAATATGAATTATGTTGCATTTGTCTGAATGTTTCGTGTTCTTTTCATGTTTTTCTGCCGTTGCTAAGTTGTAGCATCTTTCTGCTTCAGGGTCCTTTTGTCCTTATTCAGTTTTGAGCACTTAACTCCCACATTACATCTTCTATAGTTCTGTGAAACCTTTCTCTAGTCCCTCTGGGCCTCCTGCAGGACCTGTTCTCAGTTGTAGTCATTACTGTGTTGTAATACAATAATATATGTTGGTTGTTACGTTTTGTGCTCGACTGAGTTTATTTAGGGATATATTACTCTTCTGTATTTCCTGGTTCCTTTAGTATATGTCCTCTCCCTCCTCCTTGGCAATTCCAGGGATCGTTCCTTGAAGTAATCCCCCAGCCTTGAATTTTGTTTTATCAGCCTAACTGCCTATATCCCTCCTTAGGGGAGGCCTTTACTGACCTCTGGGTGATTCTGTCACCTTTCTCATGGCTCACTTTTACTCTCTTCAGCATTCCTCCTACTTTAATTTTTGACAATTTCAACATCTGAGTAGTAGATGATTGTTCCAGCATGCTGACCTTTCAGCTCCTTGAACTTCTCCAAGATCTTGTCCTTCACTCTCCTTCAGCCACTATTCCTGTAGTCACACTCTTGACCTTATTATTACCAATAAGTGCATAATTTTATTTGCAATTGTTTATCTCTCTCTGACATCACTTTCCCCCTTTCTAGTTCTTTCCCACTGGTAATTTAACGTCAACAGTCCTTCCATACTGCAAAGCCACGCTTTTTTTTTTTTTAAACTATTTCTTGCTTCCCTTAGTCTTCCCATGCTTCCCATAGCTCCTTAACCAGCTTTAATTCTACATGCCTTTGTATGTCTGTACCTTTAGCCATCTTGCCTCTCTTTGTAGGGTACTTGCTTGACATAATACCAGTCCCACATCTGGATTCTGCCTTCCCTTCTGAATTATGGATGAATTTCCCAGGAGGCCATCCCTGCATTTATGTTCTGGATGGCACCTCTTTCCACCCATTCAAGGCCATTCCCCAGCTCCACCTCCTCTGCCTTCTCCACTCCTCATCCTTTCTTCTCTGTTATTAGTTTCTCCTTTGAATGGATTATTCCCACCAGTACAGGGACATGCTGTTATTAAAAGGAAATTCCTTGGCTCTACTTCCTCCTACAGTTTATAACCTTATTTCTCCTTTGTAGCCAAACTCTAGTTGTCTGGGGCGGCCCCTGTGGCTCAAGGAGTGGGGGGCTGGCCCCATATACTGGAGATGGTGGATTCAAACCCAGCCCTGGCCAAAAAGAAAAAAAAAGAAAAAAAAAAAGAATTGTCTGAACTAGCTGTTTGCAATTATGCCATTTTCCCTTTATTCAGGATTTTGTTTCTACCACTCTCATCATTCAAAATTGGTCTTAAAAACTGGCCTAATGAAGGTCACCAGCTACCTCTGTGTTAAATGATCAGTGGTCAGTACTATCAGTTGTCAGTACTAACATTTCTTGGCCTATCAGCTGTATGGGATACAAGTGATCAGTGAACCTTGTTGAAATACTTCATTTATTTGGCTTCCAAAACACTCTTCCCTCTGCGTTTCCAATTTATTTGACTGGCCACATTCTTAAAGTTTCTTTTGATTGCCTCCCCCCCCCCGCCCCATTTCCCAGACTTTCTAATGTCTTTGGGCCCTGCTGGTCAGACCTTAGACCTCTTCTTACTTTCTTGATTTATCCCTTAGTGATCTCATACAGTCTCACAGGTTTAAATACTAGTATTTAATGCATGCCAATACTATGTAATGTTCAAATTTATGAGCTATTCTCTGTACTCTGGAATTGTGTATTTAACTGCTTACTTTATCTCTACTTAGGTATCTAACTGACATCTCCAACTGAACTCATTTAAAACTGAATTCCCAATCTTTGTCTCTCTGTCTTTCTCTCACCCAAAGTGTATATTCACTTTCCTTAGTTTTCTCAGTAGGACTTAGCACCTTCAAATACTACATGTTATTTTATTGTTTGCCTCCTGCAAATATAGTGTAAATTCTGTTAGGGTAATCATAATCCCTAGTGCTAGAGTGGAGCACAGTAGGCATTGTATAAATATTTGTTAGGTACACATTAAGGATTTGTTGAGTGAGTGAATGAAGGATTGAAAAATTGAATTATCTATATGTAGATATCAGGGGCTGAGCTTTTCTAAAAGACAAAAAGGGACTAACGGTTCTTTGCTGTAACTTCAAAAAGAATGGATAAATATAAAAGAGTACATTTAGAAAACAGAACTAAATTTACTCTCCAAATGGACTTTAAAAATAATGAATGAGGAAAAATTTTATTTGGAGCAAGCCTGCTATTCAGATGTTTTTTCGATTGTGTTGAATCTATTCAAGGAAGATAGATTTAAGAAGAAAAATATTTGATAATTTTATTATTGGTCTTTTCCTGTTTTTAAAAATATGTGTCTGATAGTATGTATCTATTAATTTTTTGGAGGGACTCCACTTTTGTTATTCTACTACTCTGATAATGTATTTCTTTGGATTAACTTATGTGAGTATATCAAATCACCATCACTGCTATGATTAAAGAACTATTTTAGTACTTTGTGATTGCTATTTTGGCAGTAGGATTTTTGGTATTTCAAAATAGTTTTTCCTTATAAATTGTCTTGATGTTACTTTTAGGTTAAAAGCGAAGACAAATTGTGAAGTAGAAGTAATTTGCATGTATTCATGTACAAATAGAAATTGGCAAGCTAAAATGTGTTAGAAGAATTCAGCATGTATGTTAAAAGATAGAATACGTCCAATGCTTTTCCCATATTTGCTTTTAAGATCTTGGCCTAAATCTTCAGTTATAATCCAGAGAAAGAATGTGTTTCTAAGCATTCATTGAAAGCATTTAAACTCTCAAAGACTTACATTTCCTTTGAGGAGTGCCATTTGTCCCAGAAGTGAATTCTAGTTCTGCAGAAATAGAAATACTATGGGGCAGGGTCTTCCTACCTCTGGTATTTTAGCTAAACTAATTGATATTAGCTCTGAAGTGCCTCCTGCGTGCTCGTGGATATCCAGGTTTTAGTCCAGGGTAGTGTTGGTGTAACATTAGCAGGGAAGAGCTAGACCCTCAGCAGTTGATGACACCACTCCTATTCCCCATGTTTGGTAAAGGAAGGCCAAGCTATGTGGGAAAATTCTGGAGAATCCAGAAGGGATTTGAATTTCTCTAATATTCCCTGATAATCTTTAGGAATTATTGTAATTTTTGGAAGAGAT